TGTGACCTTGACCTGACCTTCGCTACGCAACCCAAGGTCAAACTGATGTGATCAGTAAATACATCTTTTTAAACGCCACAACTTTTGTCTGAAACATTTTTTTGTAAAACTTATATTTTTCCTGATATTCGGGCGTCCCGGTACTTTCCGAACACCCTGTATATAAGGGTGTCTTAAAAATATGGGAACCCCTGAATATTTTTTTATAGTGAGGTTTTTCGATAAAATTTTCATAACAAAAGTTATAGGATTTCAAAAGCTGAATCTGATGGTGACCTTAAAATTGGCCTTAAGTTTGACCTTGAAGGCTATTTCAAAGTCAACTTAATTTTCTTTAATGGAACATGCATATTTTCATGACGGATTCAGAATCTACGCCAAAAACTGAGAAGCTTTTGTCTGAAACATTTTTTCAGAAAATACTCCCTTTGACCTTAAAATGACTTTCAAACTTCACAGTTTTTTCTTAAAAATATGGGAACAATGCCATCAATAGTCGCGCAATAGCGGATGCTTTGACTTCGAAATTAATCCCGGTGGTCATCCTGACCTAAGGGTCAGGGTTTCCATTAAAAAAATTTTAATTAATTAAAAAAATCCCATTAAAAATATGAGAACCCCTGAATATCTTTTTATAGTGAGGTTTTTCAATAAAACTCTCAAAACAAAAGTTGTAGAATTTCAGAAGCTGAATCTGATGGTGACCTTAAAATTGACCTTGAAAGTAATTTCGAGGTCAGCTTAATTTTTTTTAATAGGAACTCTGATCCTTGAGTCAGGATGACAATCGGGGGTCATTTCGAAGTCAAAGCATCCACTATTGCGCGACCACTGATGGCATTGTTCCCATATTTTTAAGGAAAACCGTGAAGTTTGAAGGTCATTTTAAGATCAAAGGAAGCATTTTCTGAAAAAAATGTTTCAGACAAAAGCTTCGCAGCTTTTGGCGTAGATTCTAAATCCGTCATGAAAATATGCATGCTCTATTTGAAAAAATAAAGTTGACCTTGAAATGGTCTTCAAGGTCAAACTTAAAATCAATGTTAAAGTCACCATCAGATTCAGCTTTTGAAATCCCACAACTTTTGTTTTGAAAGTTTTATCGAAAAACCTTACTATAAAAAGATATTCAGAGTTTCCTTATTTTTAAGATATCCTGTATATAAATATATAAATATATATATATATATATATATATATATATATATATATATATATATATATATATATATATATATAAAAGTACTTACATATATGTACTTATTTATTATATTGAAATCTTAGTTCTTTTTTTAAATATTATTAATTTAAAACATCTGCATTTTATTTAATAGTGGTTAAGTGTGAGAGGTCCCAGGTCCCACGATTTGACATTTTTGCTCACCTAGCTCTACAACTCTTCAGAAATTATACAGAAATTATTTTAGAAATTATAGCTCTTCATATTTCTTATAATTTTTTTATTGCTTATAATTTATATATTTCTGAAAACTATATTTCTTGTAATTTTTAATTGTCACAAAGTTTTTCTCATTAAATATCAAACATATTGAATTTATTGCATACATACTCTCGATAGTACAGATTGTAACTGAAGGAGTGATGGCGTGGGTGTATGTGTAGAAAAATAATTTGCTTTTGTATCATAAAATTATGCTTTTTTATTGTCCCATTGAAGAAAGTAAGCAAAGATTTTCGCCTCAGAAATAACTCACTAAGAACTTGGTAGGCCCATGACATAGATAAAAATACAGTAGAGGATGTTTACTGCATATTTTAAACTTGATTCACATCAAGTTGGAAGTATTGCCGTGCGACTGCACCTAATATAATTTCTGCACTAAACACACCTATGGAATTATATATATATATATATTAAAAAAAAACTAATTAAAAAAAAGAAAAATATAGCCATTACAGAATTATAATTCTTAATACAATTCTTAATTCTTTAGAAGGAGTTATTGTACTTAAAATTTAATTACATCTAATTTTCAATAAAAAATGACAAAAAATTAACCGAAAGTTAGTACGTAATTACTTACTCATGTTTGCATGCAAGACATCAGAAAGAAGATGAAGATCATTTTCATGGGTCACAATAATATAATTTAATTTTCCGGTATTCATTTCTTGTATCTGCGCAAGTGATCTACGTGTTTTGTCCATCGCACCTCCTGCACTTTCTATAATTTCCGCGATCGCTGAAGGAGATGGTACAACACTTGGTGTTACATAAAATATTTTACCCTATTTGGCAGAATAAAAATATAAAACCAAATTATAACGTGTTATACTGCAATATAAGAAATATATATTATTATACACATTAATCTGTTACCTTAAGTACTGTTCCTCGATTGGGACTCGCTAAAGCTTTTTCGATATTGCAATTAAAGTTCTTCTCGAATTCTGAGTCGCCAAGCATATATGCGCTTTCGTCCAGGAAAGTGTTTCTTACAGAGCAATCAAGCAACCACTGCAGAGTGACAATAAATTTACATCGTGATAAACAGCACAATAATTTTACTGTTCGTAACGGTGCCGACATCACGAGATGAGTGGCGTCTCGCCAGCTAGCGGCCAAAGCTCCTCCTAGTTCTCGAATCCTCTGAGAGAAAACATATTAAAAGAATTTATTATAAAGTATATACACACAAGTGATATTGAAGTTCGTAGATTGTTAAAACTATAACTATATATAAAATATGAAATTAGTACCTTTGCATGCTTTTTAGGATTTATGCCGGAGAATAATATTCTTGGTTGTTTATCGGGTGGAGGAGGATCAGGATTGCTAACAACAATTGGTTCATCCAAGCCTAAGAGATGCGGATCTTTATTCAATAGTGAACCATCCAATCGCGGTTTTTTGTATTTTCTGATCGAATTTGGACCCTGGCCAACTTGTTGTACTTTATCATATGATTCTTGATTAATATTTATTGGATGTTTCCAAGCACCTACAAAAAAGAACAAATTACATTTAAAAAACTACTTAATTTTACATGTAATGATAGTACAATTTAAAATGTACTGATTTTTATAATCATCTGATTAACATATAAAATGTTTATTATATACCCATGAGATGAGGCACTAATGAATAATCTAGTCTGAAAGGGTTACTGAGACTAAACTGTTGGTACTTTGGACCCTCGAGTTGATGCAAAGCATTCATTTGTCCACAAAGCACATCTGTCAGCCACTGTGCGTTTACAACGCTGATTTGCCACTCACGTGCCTTTTTGTATTTTTGTCCGTCTGGTCTAAAATTAATTATGACATATATACTTATTTTGGTAAAACTCCAGATTAGAGGACACCTCGCCGATGACCTTGACCTTCACATATCTGATAGAAGTTATTCTCTTGAGTAACATTCTGAAGGTTTAAAACGGCGGTCTTTGTTTATTATAAAAATATTAACAAAAAAAGTTGATTATTTGGACTGTAATTTTCCGATTGTATGTATGTATGATTGTATGAATGTATATATTATATATAGACATCTCATACACATACATGCACACACACACACACACCCGGGCGAGCGCGCGTGTGTGTATGTGTGCGCGTATACAACTGAACGTAACACACGGTTTCCACCTCGGCAGTTTCTCGAACAGTTGTAGATTGGTCATATTTTTGAAACTACTTTTGTTCATAATTTTTTAATGAAGAGTGACCGACACTTACAACTTTTTAAATGTTACAGGGACATGTCCTCCATAACATATATGAAAGTCAAGGTCATCGGCGAGGCGTCCCCTAATCTGCAGTTTTACTCTTATTTTATATTATACAACTTGATTGATAATCTAGATCGCCGATTAATAAAATAGTAAACTACTATACAACAAGTTCGAAAAAAACAACTACTATACAAGTTCGGAAAAACGACGTAATGTTAGTACGATTTTGCCAATTAATCAAAAGTATATTTAAAATAACATAATAATAAACAGGTACCTTCTGCAAACGAGTAGAGTGTTGTGTCTGGAAAAATAGTTCGTGTATTTCGCACCTAAAGCTTCTAACATATATTTGACTTTCGCCCGTTCCTCTCCTTCAAATCCAGACAATGATATGATTTGTTTAATACACGGAAGTTCAGTCAAGCTAAAAGGTGTCGGAAAATGTAGAGCATGCCATGGCGGTAACAGTTGTAGCTTGCTAACTACGTCGGAAAGCCAGTGTGCACTGACGCAACGTTTATCTTCGCGTAATGCTTGCACCACAACCGGATGTTTCTGCGTGATAGCTAACACGTGGGTTGCACGACTGCAATATTGCAGCTCCACTTCACCGCCATGTCTCTCAATAACTTGTCTCCAAATCGAGACTTCATTCGGACGCTGTAAATCGTACTCGACGATGACAAAAATACATCCTAACAGAAACAGATCTGGCGGCACTGAAAATATAGATATATTTTATTAGTAATATAAAGTAGTAATTAAAGTTTTATTTGTAATATTAGTAACATAAATAGTACAGATAAATACATATATTCATATGTATATATGTGTGTAAGCATACATATACATACATATAAGGGATCTGACATAAGCAATACAAGACCAAATCAACCTGATTTGATGAACAAGAGCACGTCAACCTGAGCACGATCTCTGGCATTTTGCAAACAATCACATAAAATTCTAAGATAATAATGAAAACAGAGTAATAAACCAGAATACGCGATGTTGTGGGTTTTTACCCTGCTAAAAAAAAGTAGAGAATAATAGAATAAAATTCTATCGTATACGATAGAATACTATTCACGTTTGTGAATTCACGAACCAAAATCCATATTCAAAATGATAGAAAATGATAGAACGATATAATTTTATTCTATCGTTCTCTATCAACTTTTTTTACCAGGCTCCATAAGCACAAGATCTTATCGAAAATGGTTAAAATGCGACTGTCTCTTAGAATAGATATCGGTTGACAAGGAAAGCAGAATAAGGTTGCAAGCGGAGTAGAGACAATTGTTCTTTGACGTATCGCGAGTGTATCGCTAAAAAATAGTTACATTTCAGTTATTACATTTTCATCGCGTGCATTAGTTTACCAATCTTCTTTTTTTTAATATCTCGAAATTTTATGTAATTATTTGAAAAATTCTATGTTCTTGTGCAAAGGTTGATGTGCTTTTATACGTAGTGTTTTATGTTGCATCAGATATCCTGTACACAAGTTGTCCCAAAATAGTTTACGACACGTAGAGCGGATTGAGATGAATAAAAAAGTCCAATATTGTTTTGCAAAAATCGTAATAATGATCAAGAATAATCAATTAAAGAAGATTGGTGAATGATTGCACACGATATGGTAGATGAAGCTGTAGTGGCGCTGTCTGTCGTTGTATACTTATACATTAGATCAAACTGAACAAAAAAGTCTTCTATGACTTTTTCAAATGATTTCAAATTTTTCACATAGATTTTTAGATATTAATTAAAGAAAAATGTGCATTATCACGCACAATTGTATGTAACAATGTTCTTTCATTAATCACTAAACTGGTTTTTTGTAAAATGAAAAAGGGCTTTTTTGTTTAATTTGACCTAATATATAAGCACATGGCAGCACACATCGCACTACTGCTCATTTACCATATTGTGTGTGATCATTGATCGTGGCCAATCTTTTTTAATTAATATTTCGAGATTGTGGAGACAAATCTGGAACAACTTGTATATATATGTACACACACGCGCGCATTTACACACTCACACACAGCATGTTTAGTATAACAATCTGCATAATTTTTTAGACATTTTCAACAGTTTAAGAAAAAAATCGTAAAATAAATAGTAATTTGTTTTATGCGAATTATCACTTATAATAAAAAATAGAAAGGAAATTTTTTCATTAAAAAAATCAATGTTACATAAAATTTTTAAAATTTAGTTTTGTTTATACGGAATGTACCATTTTAATCTTTTCACATGATTATCTCTAAAGCTTTGCTATTTCGAAAACATATTTTAGATAAAACTTAGTCTTAGTTTTAAGAAGAACTACTTACGATGAACATATTTCTTTCTATCCACACAAAACGAGTTATTATAGTTTTTTCTTGTTTTATAATTGTAAATCTGAGACCGATTATTTTCTATAAATATCATAATTTATAAATACAAATAAGTACTATAATTAAATATTTTATATAAGTATTTTTAATAAATATTTTAATTGTTGTTTAATTGTTACACTGAACATCCTATATGTGTATACATATACATGTACACATATACATATAGAACGTTTGACGTAACGCATACGCCTACAGATAACGTTCGTCAAACCAAACGAGAAAATCCTGTAACATTTTGCAAATAAAGATCACAGTAATTATTGTAATTATTGAGAAAATAATAAAAATTTTAATTCTAATCTTAATTAGAGAAAATAGACAAGTTAGTGCACGTGCTGCGGTGTGGTGAGTTCTATAAGGCTGAAGAGACGTTTTGAATTAATTTCCTGATTTGCTGGAAAAGGCAAATATAAGCGAGCGATCCAAGATCAAGTATATGATACTAGTTGCGTTCGGGGAAACGCTATTTAGCGCTATGAGCATCCTTTGTCCTTGTTCAATTTTCAGGAACAAACAAGAGCAGAGCACACTTATAGCGCTAAATGACGTCTTCCCGAACGCAGCTATAGAACTATCGTTTTCTGCTAGCAACGTTACTTCGTTTTTCGCTGTCAGTCAATATTTATCGTTGCTAGGGAATAATCGACATGCCGAAGACATGTCTCTTTAAATTAATTAGCTCGTTTTACCGTATTATGCGCGCTAATTTACCAATCTTTTTTTTTTTTGTTAATACATTAATAATTATTGTGGTGTTTACAAAATAGTAAAGGATGTTCTCATTCAGTTTGATAAGCTGCACATGAGCAGATATATGCGTTGAATCAGAGACGTCCTATATATATATATTTCGTAATTTTCTTATAGAAATGACAACATAGTGATAACAATTGTAACTTGTGTGTTACATATTACAATCAAACACAAATCTGATAAATGCATACGTTTCAGGTTTGGATTATGACCGTAGAACTGTGCTTTTGGTTGTTGCATAACCGGTCCGTATTGCATTTTCATAGGTGCTCCTGATGGTGCGCCGTTTGTTATATTTCCCGCGGTTCTTCTCTGATAAGCAGCCAAAAGCTGCGGATCCTGCGAGGGAGGAGGTGGAGCTCTGTGTTGCGCGGTCATTAGTCTTAACTGTCCTGCCGCGCTACCCTCGGTAGTACCGCCTTGCAATCTGTTGGTCAACATATTGGCTAGCGCAGTTTTTGTCTTGGCATTTACTACTAATTGCTGATCCGGTGGTATCTGCGTGTTACTCGATAATGACGTTAATGGCGGTTCTTGCTGTGCGCCTTGCTGCTGCTGCTGCTGTTGTTGTTGCAAATGTTGAAATTGTAATCGAGCCACTTGCTGCTGTTTCTGCATGTGTATAATTTGTTGAGGTGTCAAAGGTTGTCCTTGTTGGAATGTTTGTCCTGCTTGTGGACCCTGAATGTTTTGTCCGGCAGGCACAATCACTTGATTGGACGAATTTATTGGTGCCAATGCCGGTGGTTGAACTCCAGGATGTACAGGTTTTTGACTGGAGGTTTGCGCGATTTGCGGTCCCATCATATGTGGTCGGGCTTGTTGGACCCATTGCAGACTGCCCGGTTGTACCGGCTTACCGGTACTTACCGGATTTCTTATGACGGCAATATGTGGACCTTGTTGCGCCTGACGGTTTTGCATTTGTCTTTGCAATATCAGATTTTTTTGTTTTTGAATTTTCTGGATAAACTGAGCTCGCTGCAGCGGATCCATCTGTTGTAATTGTTGATGTGTCTGCGCATCTAATTGAATTAATTGTCTGGGTTGTTGAGACGATTGTTGATCTTCGCGAATGGTTCTCAATGCTGACCACTGTCCTCCGGGTCGCTGTGGACCGATTTGCTGTTGCTGTTGCTGTCTCTGTAGTTGCAAATACTGCTGTTGCTGCCATTGCGAATCCCGCTGCACGATGAATCCTTGTTGATTCGGTCCGATCAATGGTTGGCTCTGTGGTTGTTGTTGCAACTGACCCTCTCGTATGACAAATTGTTGAGAGCTCTGTGGCGCGGATTGTTGCAACTGCTGTGAGATTTGTTGTATTTTCTGCTGTTGCTGTTGCAGCAATATGAGTTGTCTCTGCTCGGGAGTAAGTTGCTGTGCTTGTTGGGCCAATTGATGTTGACCTGCGATTTGCTGTGGTTGAGAAGACAGTTGCTGTTGCTGAAGCACTATTTGTTGCTGCTGTTGTTGCTGAGCTGCTAATTGTACTTGCTGCTGCTGTTGCGCCAAATGTGGTTGTTGTGCCAACTGTTGTTGGTTTATTTGTTGTTGCTGAATAATTTGATGTTGATTTAATGGTTTCTGTTGGGATGTTAATAACTGTTGTTGTTGCGAAGTCAGCTGGTGCTGCGGTAATTGTGAATTTAACTGTTGTTGTGCAACCATTGATTGTTGTCCAATCAATTGCTGTTGCTGAGATGGTAATTGAGATGATGCTTGCTGATTCAGAAGTTGTTGGTTGTATGATTGCTGTTGTAATTGTTGATGTTGTGTGATTTGCTGTTGTTGCGTTAATTGGTGTTGCTGCGATGTTAATTGCTGATGTTGTATCAATTGATGTTGAATATTTATTTGTTGCGTCGATAATTCTTGTTGTTGTATTTGCGATGGCATAGCTTTCATTTGAGAAATATTGTTTTGTTGAGATCCCTGTGGAAGCCAACCCGCTGCTTGACTAATAACATTTTGGTCTGAGACTACTGGAGCGATCGTGGAAGTGTTTAAACTAGTCGAAGAAATCGGTCGTGGAAGATGCTGCTGCTGCTGCGGCTGAATATTTACAGTATTTTGTCCAGTCGTTGAATAAGAAATGCTTACTGCATTAGTTGCACCAAAATTATGTGCAGCATTCGATGATAAGGGTGGGCTTGGCTGATTCCATGGCATGCGTTGCTTGAGTTGTTCCAACATAGCTTTAGTTCTGACCTGCTCTTCTTGTGCAGTGCTGTTATCAGGATCCTCATCCATAAATCCAGTGATCATGGCTGTTGAGCTATTTGGAGATGGGTACACTAATAATCTAGGGTGATACTCTATTCCACTAATGACAGTACCCTTTTTGCAACATTCTATTATCCAATCAGGTGTTACAATATGTATATGATGTCTCATGGCAGTTTCATACTTAACGCCACTTGCTTTGCCAGTGATCAAATGAGTGCAATATCTGTCCAAATGTAGCTGACATTTACCACCTTGCAAGGTTAACATTGCCCACAGTGATTTACTATCAGCTCGACTTACTTGGGATATGCAGGCACGTATATTTGAGAATAATTGATTCTCCTCTGGTGAGAAATATTGTGTTCTGTTCAGTAACAATAGGGAAATACATATTATATGAAAAAAATATATAAAAGTTACATTAACTTTTCATTATAAGTATAATAAGTATTAATATAAGTTAATAAAAAGGATACGGCAGAAGCTTATTGCACTTGCTAGAATATAAAATCCAGTTGTGTGTAACTGCTGGAATGTCATATATATCCTTTGCTGCAGAAATATCATTTTCTGATGCTTCGTAGCCTGCTATTAGATGTGTTACATAGTCGCCAAAATAATTGGAACTTTCGGCACCACCTTCTTGTAGCAAATTTATAATCTGTAAATAATATTTAAAAATATTGTACATAATTAATGATAATAATCATGATAGGAAGAAAAAAGCTGCAAATACAAGAATTACTGATCACTTGAAATATTTATACTAGAACTTGTATGTTCATATAAAGTAAAAACTTCATTATTATTTAACATATGAGTATATTTTAATGTTGTGTTTTAAAGAGTCACTACAATAAACAAAATTAATCAAAAATCTTTTTAATTTTCTGTGACAAAGTCTTTTAATACAACAGTAACGATTATATAAAGTAGTATATTTCAAGTTATAATCTTTCACTAGTAGTACAGAATATTATTGATAACAAAATAAATGACTGAAAATCAGAGTTCGACAATGTTGAATGATCGCTACAACAGCGAAGTCGTGGTTGCTTATTTATCTATCGCAAACAAAAACACGGGAAACGAACAAACCTTGGGATCGCCTTCCCCGCTGACGTAGTATTTAACATTGGCAAAGAGAGCACCATCCAGTTTTAATTCTTCAAGACCAGCTCGTATATCGCCCATTCTGTCACATTAGTTTGTATAAATTCACGTCTCCCACATTACAATACAGCGCACGGAGCGTCACAAAACTGTGCCCGAATGTGACTTCGCAATATTTGATAACAAAAAGTTTGTCACGATGCGTCCGTTGTTATTATTATGATCTTAGGTTATGTAGTTTCTCTCTTTTTCTCTCTTAACATAAATGGCTCCAAGCAACTCACATCATATGCCCACAGACTTCTATATACTAACTAGTAGGGATGGGCAATTATCGATCGATGATTTGAGAATCGATGCTTTTTGTACAAATAATCGATTATTTTTCCGATATTTTTGCAAATCGATTAATTCCTCTACTACTCTCTACTATAATATATATCGATAGTTTTTTACTTCAATGTTACTAAATTTGTTTCGATGTTTACGAGAGAGAAGAAGGAGGGGTGTATATCAGTTGGACACGGGGCAATTGGACACAGTCCAATCACAAGTCGCTGTTCCAAGGGACCCTACAAATGTCTTTAATCACACGGTGCTGTGATTAGCTGTGTCCAAATGCACCGTGTCCAAGTGCACCGCTCCCAAGAAGGAGAGGGGCCATAGGCCGGTTTTAGCTGAATAGCGATCATGAATCTTTTCCCCTAGTGAACTCGTGAAAAGTGAAAATTTTATAATAAACTCGTGAAAGATGAAAACCTTCACTAAACTCGTGAAAAATGAAAGATTTAAATACACAATGTAATATATAACACATTAATAAGTATTATACAACTTAAATTTATAGTTATAATATAATATAATAATACAATATGAGTAAATTTAATAAATGAGATCAACGTGAATTTGTAAGTAAAACAAATATTATAATATACTTTAGACAACACCAATTTGCAATGAACATCTTTAGAATTTTTTCAGCATGTTTTTAAGATATAGTGATGTCTTTAGAACGTCCCTTGGAAATCTTATTATCTGAGATTACTTTAGGATAAATTATAAAAAGGTAAAATTCTATTAATATTAAAATTATAAATCTGCAGAAAATATATATTTCATATAAAATAATACATAAAATACATACAATAAATACATAAAATAAACTTACATTTTACTTATTATATACAATTTATAATATATTACATTTTAACTTTCTGATGCATACGTATCTTAACTTTACAAACTTTGTCGGAATACTTTCACTGCCTATACATCATCACGCTTCAATCGGCTTTCGTTGTTCATTTTTAATGGACGTAGGATTCTTATGTCAAATGCCAATTGTCGTATAACCATAAAAATTAAAGTCACTATAAGAAATTCTACTCACTTTGTACATAATATGCAAGTGTGATATTACATTATTTTTCAAATTTAAACCACATCGCTTGATGCTTCAAAATTTTCATGGAAACTTACACAATTTACATGTAAAGAAGAACATATACGAGCAAACTGAAAGTTCACGTGAAATATTTCACGTTTTGAGAATTCACCTTTCACGGTTAACGTTGATCTCATTTATTAAATTTACTCATATTGTATTATTATATTATATTATAACTATAAATTTACGTTGTATAATACTTATTAATGTGTTATATATTACATTGTGTATATTGCAATTACATTTTAATTTTAATAATATATATTACATAAATATTGCTTTCCACATTTTCATTGTTCACTTTTCATGTGAAATAACTTACAGTGAAAAGTGAAAAATGAAAATGAAGTTTACGTGAAAGATTCATGATCGCTACCCTGAAGGGGGTGGGACCCGATTGACCACGATATGATTGGACACAGATTGTAATGATTAATTCGACCTAGTAATTCACTAGATAATTCTTTTCATCGGTTGATTGTGACTAATCGTACCGTGGTCAATCGAGACGCTCCCCCCTGATGGTAAGGGCTATCGCACACAAATTGACATAACTGCATATGCATAGCATAAGATCGTATGGACCAATGAGCATCGAATATTAAGCATCGAACACCAATATGGCGACTTAATACTCGATGCTCATTGGTACATACGGTCTATGCATATGCAGTTATGTCAATTGTGTGCGATAGCCCTTAGGGCCAGCGCACGAACATTGCCATAGCTCCTTACGCCATCTTACGTGACAACCTTACGTTACGTGAGACGTAAGCTGAACGTACGCCAACGCACGAAAATTTTACGTTACGTTACGTTACGAAAGAACATAAAGGTTCTGTGACAAAGGTAATTAAATTAGATTATTGAACAAGAAGTAAAGAAACAATATTAATTTATCTTTACAGTTATAATTAGAAATGTGTATATTGAGCATATATTAATTTTATTAAACTGTTAAATGTATCTGTACAAAATTATAAACATTGCATTATAACCTCTTCCCAACACTACGTATAGAATATGTTTGACATATAAATATCGAAATAAAATTTTAGGTTCTCAAGTCAACAAATATGAAAACATCAAAGTCTATGAATTATTATTTAGTTATGTCTATGAGTTAAAATGTTTATTGTTGTCATTACTTTTAATTTATTATATGAGACTAAAACGGAGAAAAACACACAAAAGATGGCAAAATAGAAGATGGCTCGTGAGACCAATTAATCAACAGAGAAAACAGCAATATTCTTCCACTGTTCTTCAGTTGGACATGCTAAATATAGAGGCTGTAATGTATTAACAATAACTAGACACACTTCTTTCATTAACTGTCTAACAATTGACTGCCCAACTCGAAAAAAATGCAATACTTGCTATTGAATTCCCTGTTGCAAGATATCTGAAAAATGTATCACAATTTTTGCTATATAGTTTATAATTTCGTAAAACATTTTTTTTCTAACAATGATTTTTAAACATTATTAAAAATTTAAGAAGTAATTACATCAAACAATTTTTTACTAATAAACTATATTTACCTTAATGTTATTATTAACCTGTGTTCCGGAGACAGAGCTTTCTTAGTTTTTTTTATCAAATAAGGTCTTAGCATGGTTGATAACTTGTTAAAATGTTGAACATTCATTTTGACACATTTGACAAACATGTCTTCATCAGTTTTTAATTCTTGAAACAGATTTTCATTCTTCTTGCTGTTTTCTCTGTTGATTGATTGATGGCTTCTAACGAGCCATCTTCTATTTTGCCATCTTTTGTGTGTTTTTCTCCGTTTTAGTCTCATATAATAAATTAGGAGTAATGACAACAATAAACATTTTAACTCATAGACATAACTAAATAATAATTCATAGACTTTGATGTTTTCATATTTGTTGACTTGAGAACCTAAAATTTTATTTCAATATTTATATGTCAAACATATT